TCTTAGTGCCAGCATTGGTTTGTGGTGGTAAATAGACGGCTGCGAATAGATCTCTCTTGGTAGATAGTGTGGTCTGCAGCTTATCATGAGGTACTCTACGTCAGGCGAGCAATACCTTGAGACTTCTTTAATGTTAGACATCGTGCACCAGCTGTTATTGACAAATAGACACATACCCCCACCCCTCGTCTTACCAGACGTAGCTGCTCTGTCCTGCCGATGCACGGAAAACCCAGCCAGCTCTATATCATCCGTGTCCTCGTTCAGCCACGACTCAGTGAAACATAAGATATTACAGTTTTAATGTCCCGTTGGTAGAATAGTCTCGATCGTAGATCATCCAGTTTATTTTCCGGTGATTGCACATTGGCCAACAGAACAGATGGTAGAGGCGGTTTACCCACTTGCTGACTAATTCTCACAAGACACCCCGACCTCCGACCCCTGTATTTCCGTATTTTCTTCAAGCGAATAACGGGAATGTCACGGATTCTGCCGAGGCTGCTCCTCCTCCTTGTTCGGGCAGGCTTCGGCGTTCGTCGTCCCCGGAGTACTAGCTGCCACCGTTGAATGTTTCTATGTTTGATTGCTTTTGTCTGTCCATTGCACCTGTGTCCGTTTGTGTCTGATTATGTGCTCTATAAGTTGCCTGTTTTGTATTGGTTAGGTTGTGTGTTGTTATTCGCCTGTCCGTTAGTGCTGCGTGTTCTCTCTGTTTATTGTTTTGTTAGTTTACACACAGTCTGCGTAATCGCTCGCCTCTGTTGTTGAGGCCGTTCATTGTATTGTGCTTGGTTTTGCACTAGTAAACGTTGTTGGCCTAAGCTTCGGTGTCCTGCGCCTGACTCCCGCACCACATTAACCTCAGCTAGTGACAGGGAATTTGGGCCTGGTCTCGGGAAAGCAGTATATCCTTCGCTTCGGACTCATTAAAGAAAAATCTTTGTCCAGTTCGAGGTGAGTAATCGCTGTTCTGATGTCCAGAAGCTCTTTTCGGTAATAATAGACAGTAGCAGCAACATTATGTACAAAATAAGTTACAAACAATGCGAAAAACAAACAAAATAGCACAGTTGGTTAGGAGCCCGTAAAACGGCAGCCAATCCCTCCGGCGCCATTATACAATTAAACAATAATGTATGTTGATGCTAATATTATGTACAATATCTAATTATGTTTCCATATGATAAAAATAGCCTAATATATTCAACATGCTGTAAACTATTGTCTTTTAACAGTTTCACTCAATTCATTCTTATTAACCTAATAATTATGACACACCCCTCACTATTGTCATTGGTTGTACTAATTGAAATGTTCGTCTACATAAGCTGGTTCAAGCATTCATGACATTACCCTGAAGAAGGCCCAGTGATGCCGAAACGTTGGTGGTTTACCCAATAAATTACTGGGAGTTTATATATAGACTGTGCAATTCTCTTTATTTATTTTTATAGCTTAAAGTTTATTCACCGCTATTCAGCACCTCTACACAAAATACATTATCTGGGTGTGCGCCAGCTCATGCTTTTTATGTTCCAATTCATGTCAGTCACTCTAAATCTAAATCTGAACTTGAGTGAAATTTAATTTTACTCAATACGAAGTCATACCTTAAGCCAACACTTTTCTCTGGTCCTTCCTACTAGGGTCAGATGGCTTCATGTTCGGGAATGGAGGACCTAGGGTAATGGAATATTAACATTAAGTATGCAGAACTTAAAACGATATCCGCACAGTAAATGAAGTGTCCACTTTATGAATGAAATTCAATTTGAATGAGATATTTACCTCTGTTGTCTATCCGGCACCCACTGCAATGGTGGCAGCTTTTGGTTTGCTGTGTGTTTAAAAACAACAGCACATAGTTACACCATTAGCAATAGCAGATATGGAAATAATTCTCAATCTGTAAATTAATGAGACCAGGTGTCTCATGTGATTGAGAATTGCTGATACTATCTTTGTCTATTTTCTTTAGAAAACCTGCGACTGAACCACACACTTCTATCTAGTGAGAGGGCACAGAACATTTTAGCTTTAATTACCTCGTTGTCCCATTGAAGTCAACATCATTTTTTCATGGGAGACCTACTGGTATGGATAAAGGCTTGAGTATTTTCACTATTTAAAGCAGGTTTAAAAGAAAGTGACACCACCACAACTTCATGAATGTGTGATTTCTCCATATGTTCATTTGCCAATTTCTAAGCAAGACAGAACAGTGTTCAGGCTATATTGTTGTCATTCAGTAAAGGTGTAGCTAGCTACTGCAACGTTACTGTACTTGCCTACTGTAGCCTACAGCCTACAACCAAGCTAGATAGCTAGCTACAATGAAACAATCAATTTCATCAAGTATGTTTAGCTAAATATATGTAGCTAGTGTGATTGCATGCCAAACAACTTTAGAGATGATTAGAAAGTTCTAAAAGCAAAAGTGACATACCTGTCTTTTTGGTGAGTGCTGCTCTGCTGGCGAACTGGATCTAGAGGCAGCTAAAGCTGACTAGCTAGCTAGCCAGGTAGCTTTGTAGCTAGCTATCTTGGACATTAATTAAATAAAATAATTGCCGTTGTGTTGTAAGTAGTAATTTCCAGATGGAGAAATGCCAGATCTGTCTGTAATAACTAACGTTGAATAACTGAGATCTGTGTCTACAGTGGTGGTTCGCTCCTTGCTCGAGGCCTACCCGCGCCTTTTCAAGTCTGTTTAGCTAAACTTTCTGCTAAATTTTGGCATATGACTCTGAGTACAAAGAGTGGAATGTTAGCTAAACAGACTGGAATCCAGACTAAATGTAGTCTGTATCCCAACGCTGCCACCAATATGATATTATACATCTAGGACACAGTTATGAAAGTGCATGATATTTTACAGAAATAATTTTATTGAATGAGTTACACAGTATGGGGACTGGGAGGTGAGGAGAATAGTTGTCAACACATTTGGTCTGTTTGCTCATCATAAACTAGGGACTACAACCGAGAACTCCTGCCAAATTGGTCTCCAAACTCTGTCGTATTCCTCAAGAAGTCCTGCTAATACTGTATTTATGAATGAAGAATAATAACACAACACATAAAATCTGGTTGAGTAATGACATAAAATTAGAAGAGGATGCAATCATTTATAGGTGATAGGGAAATAAATATCTGAATCTGACCCTCATTGGCCAAGACCAAAGGGCAGGATGAGTAATGTTAGCCAAAAAGAGCCTTTTACTTTCAAAAGGCATTAATTGGGTCAAAACTAATTATATAAGTGATTGTTGGTTACAAGTAGCTTGTAAGGTCTGGAAGCTTCATTTCATCCATCTCATTCATTTGGGATTTGACTGATTCAGGGCTGGGAGAGGAGAGACTTGGTTCTAGAGTTCTAGAGTTCACCCTCAGAAGAAAGAGGGGAGCAGCAGAGAAGGGTTCATGTTGTAGATTTGGGACATGTGCCAAAAAGTGTGCTTGTCAATATACATTTTAAAAAGGAGTTTGAAAGTACTGTAGATTTAAAACACCCAGGAATCTTGAAATGCTTAGTCATAAATGCATCCCTCTCTGTCTTTGACCAAAATGGCAAATATAGTATATCTAAATCTATCTAGCTAATTGTCACAGGAAGACTATTGCATTAGGCCTATCTAGGGAGCAACATGTAGCCTAGTGGTTAAGAACGTTGGGCCAGTAACTGAAAGGTTGCTGTTTCAAATCCCGAGCCGGCAAGGTGGCAAAATCTGCTGTTCTGCCCTTGAGCAAGGCAGTTAACCCCCAACAACTGCTCCCCAGGCACTGTTGATTAAGTCAGCCCCCTGCACCTTTCTGATTCAGAGGGGTTGGGTTAAATGCAGAAGACACATTTCGGTTGAATGCATTCAGTTGTGCAACTGACTAGGTATCCCCTTTCCCTATATGTACAGGGAGAGTAAGGCTATTCAGTTGGCATGATCAAGTATATCAGTGTAATAATAAGAGTACACAAAGGTTTGTGTATACATGTGCCTTTCTTTGGGTTCTAGCACAAGATTAATAATCTCCAACATGCAAAATAATGTGAAGGATGTATCTGGAAACATACACAGAACTATTGCTGCACACTAATTAGATTGAGTGGCCGAGTGAACAGATAAGTGTTTGACGACTCTCCCTCTTTTTAAGGATTCCTCTGCACACAAACTACAAGCCATGAAATTCCTCCGTCAACAACAGCATGTGTGAGTGAGCGTGTGTGGAAACTCCTTCGCTTGTGACAAAATACACACTCTGCATAGAAATGGCAAGCTTACCCCCTCGTACTGAGGGGGTGTGTGTGTGAGTGTGTGTGAATATGTGGCAGTGTGGACTCCAATGACATACACATACACACACACACACACACACTTTCAGTGATGCTGCCACAGTAATGCTAAATATAACATGTAATGCTAAATGTAACATGTAATGCTAAATGCAGTATTGTAACTTTAAGTGCATGGATCCGTTTGGACCAGAATAACATACTGTACTTTCATATCTCACATTGTTTATGGTTCTTTGGCAACTCAAATCCGCTCTACATATTCTCATAAATCTCATAAATAAAATACAAATCGAAATAGAGATTATGGTGGCTGTTATGTTATATAGGAAAAAGAAAAGCAATATATTTACAACAGAAGCATCGCTATGCCTGTGTGCTAGCAACATTTAACCTATGGTGATCTCTCACTATGACAAGCATCTGTAGCCAGTGGTAACTCCCATCCTTACATTAGTACTGTGTTATTTAAAGAGTCAAAACATAAAATAAGTGAATAACACTATCTATAACTGTAACTCAAAGCTGAAAGTCAGTGGCATTGAGTGAAAATAATAAGGCAAATAGATAAGATTCAATAGCACCTGACTTGCACAAACACCCCCTTTCAAAATGGACGCCAGTTTACTAATGGGGAGGGGGGGGGGGGGGGGGTATACTCAGTGCATTCATAAACTGGGCGCCATTCGTTAGAGAAACGTTGTGATAATGTTAGTAAAGTGTTCTGCATGATGAAGCGAAGGGCCGGTTGGTGTTATGGCTTGGTCTCCGGTGTGTGTTTGTGTGTGTGATCTGTTCTCTCTGCGATCTCTGGGCGTTTTTGTTGTTCTGTTTCACAGAGTGTGTGTGTCTGTGTATCTCTGTCCCTCTCCTCTCACACACAGTGAAATAGCACCATCCTTTGGTCAATAACAAGAAGTCAAGCCACACCACGGACAGATGGGTGGGGTCAGGGGTTGTGGGGTGGTGGTCAAGGATCACAGAGAGGTCAGCGGCGGGGCCTATGTCCTCTTCATGCACACCTGGCAACGGCTAATGTGAGTCCGGAGACTTCCTGCCTTTAGCGTGGTGGGCACGGGTTTACTGGAACGAGATATGAGACGACATCAATCAAAATCAATCAATCAAGTCATAGTTCTGGTGGCCAGAGAGGGAAATATATAGGGGGAGAGAGAGAGATAGAGAGAGAGAGAGAGAGAGAGGGAGAGGGAGAGAAAGTTGTTCTTGGCTTACGTAAACATCTCCTTGTCCTCGATGGCAGCCAGCCAGAAGCTGTAGGAGTTGGCGTAGTAGTTGCAGGTTCCACGGCCGTGACACTCGATGAAGGGAGCGCTCCGGAACTCTTCTAGACAGGAACCAGGAGAGGCCAGGGCCTGGCCAGAGCCCTCAGCACCTGCACTGGTGTGCTACACAGAGAGAAGAATGGAGAGGGACAAAGAGGAGAGAGAGAGAGAGAGAGAGAGAGAGAGAGAGAGAGAGAGAGAGAGAGAGAGAGAGAGAGAGAGAGATTTTTAAGTATCAAAGTAAGTACTGATACAGCAGGCATGGCCTTGTAATATGAGTTTTGTCTCTCTCACCATGACGAAGGAGTAGCCAATCCAGAGAGAGTCCCAGCCATTGGGGCATGATGGGATCATGATGTTCTGACTGTGTACTGCTATCACCATGGCAGGAGCCTCACACACAGAACACCTGTTGGCATAGACAGAGGTCAATACACATACTATCCATGCACACACACTCACATGCATGTACACAACACAAACATACACCTACAAACATACCCACACACATATATCCTGGGTGAGTGCACAAACATACACTGTGTACAAAACATTAGGAACACCTTCCTAATATTGAGTTGCACCCGCTTTTGTCCTCAGAACAGCCTCAATTCGTCAGGGCGTGGACTCTACATGGTGTCGAAAGCGTTCCACAGGGATGCTGGCCCATGTTGACGTCAATGCTTCCCACAGTTGCGTCAAGTTGGCTGGATGTCCTTTAGGTGGTGGACCATTCTTGATACACACGGGAAACTATTGTGCGTGAAAAACCCAGCAGCATTGCAGTTCTTGACACACTCAAGCCACTGCGCCTGGCACCTAGTACCATACCTCGTTCAAAGGCACTTACATCTTTTGTCTTGCCCATTCACCCTCTGAATGGCACACATACACAATCCATGTCTCAATTGTCTCAAGGCTTAGAAATCCTTCTTTAACCTGTCTCCTCCCCTTCATCCACACTGATTGAAGTGGATTTAACAAGTGACATCAATAAGGGTTCATAGCTTTCACCTGGATTCACCTGGTGTGTCGTAAAAAAAAATCCTAATGTTTTGTACACTCAGTGTATAGTGCTATAATCAATATCAAAGGGCCTAATGCCCCCCTGCCCCACACACACACCCAGCTACCTGCTGATGAATGGCCTGATGCTCTGGCCGGTGATAGGGTCCATGTTCATTGGCATGGGCTCAGGTGAGGTAAGCCAATAGGAGTAGTCATTACGGGAAGCAAAGTAACAGACGTTGTTGATGTTACAGAAGAGGAAGGGCATGGGACTGAACTTCCTCAGACAGCTACCAGCCGTACCTACACACAGCCAGAGATACACACAAGTAGTTATGTGTGATGCTGATCTGAATCACAAGATAGATACAACATCTACCTCTATTCCTAGCTCTCTCTCTATCCCCCTCTCTCTCTCTCTCCCTCTCTCTCTTACCCAGGTCCTGTCCGTGGGAACGCTCGTTGCCCTGGATGTAGAGTAGGGAGTATCCATCATAGATCAACGATGTTCCCTCAGGACACTGTGGAACCTCCACCGATTGGCTGTGCCTGGTTACCAGGAAACCGTGATCCATGGAGGAGGGGCCGGGAGGGCCCACCTGACCCGGAACACCGTCAGGTCCTGGGGGTCCGGAATACCCTCTCGGTCCTATAGGGAGAAGAGTCAAAGGTCAAAGATGAAGGTCATGGTCAAATGGAACATTAGTGCCCAGCCAGATAAAAATAGTACATCAGATACTATTCTATTCTACATGCATTGCAGTATCCTTTTCAGTGTGGCTATTAACTGGACAAAGGGGGTGTGTCTCTCACCTGAGGGACCAAGCAGGCCTGGTTCTCCCTTGGCTCCGGGGAGACCATTAAACCCAGGGTTCCCCTCGTCACCTTTAATACCCTGAATACCTGTCATACCTGGGAGACAGAGCGCGAGAGAGGAGAGAGATGAAGAGAGAAAGAGAGAGAGAGAGAGAGAGAATGGATGGATGGATGGAAGGATGGAAGAGGGGGGTGTAATATTATATATTATGGGGTGATCGGTGCTGATGTTTGGTCATAATATATTGGCTCATTGTAGATAGGATGGTTTGAACTCTCACCTTGCTGTCCTTTCAGCCCAGGGAAACCTGAGGGCCCCACAGGCCCCTGAGGGCCCTGATTACCTGGGAAGCCGTTGTCTCCCTTGATGAAGGTGTAGGGGCCAGGAGGACCAGGGGGGCCATCATTACCTGGAACAAGGAAAGGCCATTCAGATAATTACCGAATCCTATTATTATTCATATTTGGGTAAAAGTGTCTGCTACATGGCACATATTCAGAATATACAGGTCAGTAGGTGTTTGATGCTATGAAGCTCACAGTGATTTGGTTTAATGGCTGTTTGGTTTAATGTGGTGTCTCTCCACTCACCTTTGGTTCCTGGGAATCCTCTTTCTCCCAGCTCTCCTTTCAATCCAAACACTCCCAATTCACCCTTTGTCCCTGAAGAAGAGAGGAACTTTTGGATTTATCCACCTGATGAAACCATCCGAACCACATAGATCAACAGTCACATGCACACATTGTAAGAAGCAGAGGAGGCTGGTGGGGAAGCTATAGGAGGACAGGTTCATTGTAATGGCTAGAATGGAAGAAAACATGTGGCTTCCATATGTTTGATGTGTTTGATACAGTGGCGGCCTGCCCTAGGGGCATTAGGGGCGGCGCCCACTTGTGATTGGTCCCCCCAAATGTGATTATGTTTTAAATGCTCATAAAAGTGCAGTAAATGTGTACATTTTCTTGTTTCAAAAATATTTTGTTAAGAACAAGCTGTTCAGTTACTACTGCCCCTCAGTGACTGCCAGCAGCAGCAGCTCCGGGGGCACATAGGCCAGCTATTTGCTATGAGGGGGAACTTCCCCAATGAAATCGCAGGATTTCATAACATAAATTATAACAGCACAAAGTAAATGGACTGTCCTGGGGTGGTCAAATGTGCACTCAGTCAGAACTTCTGGGTCTGCATGACGGTGGCTGGCCAATTTTATTGTTTCCCCCAATGGTGTTCATTAGGTTCTACTGTAGGTGACATGTTGTGTACACTAAAACAGCATAAGACCGGGTGTATCACAAAGCATTCAAATCAAATCAAATCACATTTGATTTGCCACATGCGCCGAATACAACAGGTTTACCTTACAGTGAAAAGCTTAATTACAAGCCCTTAACCAACAATGCAGTTTTAAGAAAAATAAGTGTTCAGTAGAAAATAGATAAGTAAAAAATAACAAATAATTAAAGAGCAGCAGTAAAATAAAATAACAGTAGGGAGGTTATATACAGGGGGTACCGGTACAGAGTCAATGTGCAGGGGCACAGGTTAGTCAAGGTAATTGTGTTGAATGTAATTGTGTAAATGTAAAAATGTTTTTTTTTTAATGTAATTGAGGTAATATGTACAGTTGAAGTCGGAAGTATACATACACCTCAGACAAATACATTTAAACTCAGTGTTTCACAATTCCTGATATTGCGGTCGGAGGCTGAGCAGTTGCCATACCAGGCAGTGATGCAACCAGTCAGGATGCTCTCAATGGTGCAGCTGTATAACTTTTTGAGGATCTGAGGACCCATGCCAAATCTTTTCAGTCTCCTGAGGTGGAATTGGCTTTGTCGTGCCCTCTTCACAACTGTCTTGGTGTGTTTGGACCATGATAGTTTGTTGGTGATGTGGACAACAAGGAACTTGAAGCTCTCAACCTGTTCCACTGCAGCCCCGTCGATGAGAATGGGGGTGTGCTCAGTCCTATTTTCCTGTAGTCCACAATCATCTCCTTTGTCTTGATCACGTTGAGGGAGAGGTTGTTATCCTGGCACCACACGGCCAGGTCTCATCGTTATTGGTGATCAGGCCAACCACTGTTGTGTCGTCGGCAAACTTAATGCTGGTGTTGGAGTCGTGCCTGGCCATGCAGTCATGGTTGAACAGGGAGTACAGAAGGTGACTGAGCACGCACCCCTGAGGGGCCCCAGTGTTGAGGATCAGCGTGGCAGATGTGTTGTTACCTACCCTTACCACCTGGGGGCAGCCCGTCAGGAAGTCCAGAATCCAGTTGCAGAGGGAGGTGTTTAGTCCCAGTGTCCTTAGCTTAGTGATGAGCTTTGAGGGCACTATGGTGTTGAACGCTGAGCTGTAGTCAATGAATAGCATTCTCACATAGGTGTTCCTCTTGTCCAGGTGGGAAAGGACATTGTGAAGTGCAATAGATATGGCATCATCTGTGGATCTTTTGGGGCGGTATACAAATTGGAATGGGTCTAGGGTTTCTGGGATAATGGTGTTTAGGTGAGCCATGACCACCCTTTCAAGCACTTCATGGCTATAGACGTGAGTGCTACGGGTCGGTAGTCATTTAGGCAGGTTATCTTAGTGTTCTTGGGCACAGGGACTATGGTGTTCTGCTTGAAACATGTTTGTATTACAGACTCAGTCAGGGACATGTCAGTGAAGACACTTGCCAGTTGGTCAGTGCATGCTCAGAGTACGCGTCCTGGTAATCCGTCTGGCCCTGCGGCCTTGTGAATGTTGACCTGCTTAAAAGTCTTACTCACATCGGCTACGGAGAGCGTGATCACATAGTCATCTGGAACAGCGGATGCTCTCATGCATGCTTCAGTGTTGCTTGCCTCAAATCAAGCATAGAAGGGATTTAGCTCGTCTGGTAGGCTCGTGTCACTGAGCAGCTAGCTGCTGTGCTACCCTTTGTAGTCTCTAATAGTTTGCAAGCCCTGCCACATCCGGCGAGTGTCGGAGCCGGTGTAGTACGATTCGATCTTAGTCCTGTATTGACTCTTTGCCTGTTTGATGGTTTGTCGGAGGGCATAGCAGGATTTCTTATAAGCGTCCCGGTTAGAGTCCCGCTCCTTGAAAGCGGCAGCTCTACCTTTTAGCTCTGTGCGGTTGTTGCCTGTAATCCATGGCTTCTGGCTGGGGTATGTACGTACGGTCACTGTGGGGATGACATCATCGATGCACTTATTGATGAAGCCAGTCACTGATGTGGTGTACCCCTCAATGCCATCGGAAGAATCCCGGAACATATTCCAGTCTATGCTAGCAAAACAGCCCTTTAGCTTAGCATCTGCGTCATCTGACCACTTCCTTATTAACCGAGTCACTGGTGCGTCCTGCTTGAGTTTTTGCTTATAAGCAGGAATCAGGAGGATATAATTATGGTCAGATTTGCCAAATGGAGGGCGAGGGAGAGCTTTGTATGCGTCTCTGTGTGTGGAGTAAAGGTGGTTGCACATTTAACATGCTGGTAGAAATTAGGTAGAACGGATTTAAGTTTCCCTGTATTAAAGTCGCCGGCCACTAGGAGCGCTGCCTCTGGATGAGTGTTTTCCTGTTTGCTTATGGCCTTATACAGCTCATTGAGTGCAGTCTTCGTGCCAGCATCGGTTTGTGGTGGTAAATAGACAGCTATGAAAAATATAGATGAAAATTCTCTTGGTAAATAGTATGGTCTACAGCTTATCATGAGATACTCTACCTCAGGTGAGCAAAACTTTGATACTTCCTTAATATTAGATTTCGTGCACCAGCTGTTGTTTACAAATATACACAGACCTCCACCACTTGTCTAACCGGAGTCAGACGTTCTATCCTGCCGATGTATCATATATCCCGCCAGCTGTATGTTATCCATGTCGTCGTTCAGCCATGACTCGGTGGAACATAAGATATTACAGTTTTTAATGTCCCGTTGGTAGGATATCTGTGATCGTAGGTCGTCCATTTTGTTTTTCAATGATTGTACGTTGGCTAATAGGACTGATGGAAGAGGCAGATTACTTGCTCGCCGTAGGATCCTTACAAGGCACCCCGACCTACGTCCACGATATCTCTGTCTCTTTCTCATTCGAATGACCGGGATTTGGGCGTTGTCGGTGTCTGTAGAATATCCTTCGCATCCGACTCGTTGAAGAAAAAATCTTTGTCCAATACGAGGTCAGTATCACTGTCCTGATATCCAAAAGCTATTTTTGGTCATAATAGACGGTGGCAGAAACATTATGTACAGAATAAATTACAAATAACGCGAAAAACACACATAATAGCACAATTGGTTTGGGGGTCGTAAAATGGCAGCCATCTCCCCCGGCGGCATCTTTGTCATAATTAGCCAGCTACAGTAATTTTGAGAATAAGTTTGGTAACTTTTTGGGTCAAATTAACCAGTTGTCTACCTTAGATAAGCAGCTAGCTAGCTATATCTAGCTGGTAGATTGCTAGCTAGTTAGCTCCCATGCTAAACTAATATCTGTCTAACTCTGAAATATGAAGTAATTTCAGAATGAAAATTAACTGGCTAGCGCATCATGCTTTGTGACATTATGTTAGCTAGCTATCCCCAGTTAGATAATTTGTTTTCACTTATTAAATCTGCATGCTTGTTGTGTTGTCCCTGTTGCACTCGTTCATTCGTGAGCTGGCTGCTCATTCTAAATAGTATAATCTAATCTGTTCAAAACAGTGGCAGCATGTGCAGCAGTGGTCATTCAGTTTTTGACACACAAAAGTGAAATAGGTGTATTTATGCTGTTGTTCAAATGCACAGAACGCTTTATATACCCCCCCCCCCCCCCCCCCTACAGGTATTCAGCCAATTAGAGGCTGCCACTGGTATGATACCATCCCATTTATTCCATTCCAGCCATTACAATGAGCCTGTCCTCCTATAACTCCACCCACCAGCCTCCTCTGGTAATGAGATAAAAGGACACTTTGTACACTGTCTAAATTATCTGCACCACTCACCTGGGAAACCAGGCACACCCTGCAGTCCCATCTCTCCCTTCAGTCCATCAACACCTGGAAGGCCTGATTGCCCCTGTAACACACACACATATACACACACACACACATATACACACACACACACACATATACACACACATACACAAGTCAGATGGTGGATACTAGTCACGTGTCATGATAAACAGACTAGACTGTCATGACATCACACATGGGTCAGTCAGGGAGCAACCGGAAGTGACCTACAGGAAGTCCAGAGTATCCTCTTTCTCCCTTTAAGCCCTGCTCGCCCTGTACTCCTGGTCCACCCTGATCTCCCTTGTCTCCCTTCCCCGCCGCGCTGCCGGGAACACCAGCAGGACCTGGTACACCACTGGTACCTGTTGAGAGGAGGAGAAGAAGAGGAGGATGGAGGGAGAGAGGGATAGAGGGGGATGAGAAGATGAGGATAAAGGAAGGAGAATGAGAACCAGTGGATTATATGATTCAAAATGTACAATCAAGCAGGACTCAGGTGTGCAGTATACAGTACCTGGTTCTCCGGGCTTTCCTGGCACTCCTTGGTCTCCTTTGGGCCCCTCCATGGCAGGTCCTTGGTGACCCTGTTCTCCTGGCTGGCCCTGGGAGCCCTGGAAGCCTGGCGTACCCTTCTCTCCCCTGGTCCCTGGGATACCCGGGATACCTGGGGAACCTGGGAAACCTGGACTGCCCTTATCACCTTTAACCCCAGACGACCCCGGTATTCCTGGGAAGCCCCTGCCGGGTAAACCTATAGGAGGGACATAGACACAAACACAGAGAACGGAGTTAATCAAACTCCAGGCAACTGATGGAAAAACGTCACCTGCTGAACTCTTAAGGTCTGCCTCTGCTGTTTGTTAGCTGTTTAGATGCACAGTGCATGAGTTGATTTTGAGACATGGTCAAGAGTTGGGCTAATAATAGAAATATAACACAGATCATAAAAGCATGTGGTTTACAAGTGGTTTATAGGCTGATTAACATACCTGACTGTATGTTAAAGGTCAGGAGAGGTCACTCACCTTGGTCTCCTCTGTCTCCTGATGATCCAGGAATGCCGTCCACTCCTGACTCTCCTTTCTCTCCAGTCGGACCTGGGGGACCCTGCAGACCAGGCTCACCTGGGATACAATAGGGTTACCTGAGTGTGTGTCTTGACCCGCTGTGGTACAGTAGCTACAGTATGTACACTTGGGAAATTAGTCCAAGCTTCCTGACTAGCTGTCATACTGCATTAACAGAAACCAATGGCACCTGGGGCATTGTTACTGTGCTCCATGCGTTCCTTACCTGGTCGACCTGTTTGACCTGGCTCTCCTGTTGACCCAGGCAGCCCACCGACACCCTTCTCTCCTGGCCGACCCGGCTGACCTGCACAACACAGCACACACCTTCGGTTAGACTTTTGTGGTCCTCTGTAGCTCAATTGGTGGAGCATGGCGCTTGTAACGCCAGGGTAGTGGGTTCGATCCCCGGGACCAACCATACGTAAAAAATTTATGCACACATGACTGTAAGTCGCTTTGGAAAAAAGCATCTGCTAAATGGCATATTATTATTACTAGAGGTTGCCAAGCAAAAATACATGTCCCTGGGTTTGTGAGATGATTGAGAATACCTGGTCAATATAGGAAATAATGCTTTCAAGTGTTATTCCCTGGGCCAACATGTATTCTAGTCTTGTATTGTCTTTTTAAACCCCAAATTCAATAAATCAATCAGTCAGGTCAAAGTAGGGGCAGTTGTCATCGTGGAGACCGGACCCTCACCTGGGTGACCAATGTAACCGGTGTCTCCCTTGGTTCCTGGTGTTCCTGGCATCCCGGGGACTCCCATTCCCCCCTTCTGACCCTTCTCTCCTGCGTTACCAGGGAAACCAGGCAGACCCGACTGACCCTGAGAGTGAGAGAAAAAGAGAGGGATGGAGGGAGAGAGAGAGGGGGGAAAATGAGGGGGAAATGGTAGATACAGTGTATTGATTGAAAAAGAGAGACAGTTAGTGGTGTAATTGCAATGAAAAAAATGATATACTGAAGTTAGCTAGCACCATCCATGAAGACACAAACAACAAACCTTGGTTGTGTGAAACTTTAATGGAGCCAGCTCTCTGGGAGACTAAAAGTGGATCTGACTTACCTTCTCTCCAGGGGGTCCTGGCACTCCGACACCTGGCAAACCGGCTGTTCCCTTGTCTCCTTTCACCCCCTCTGTACCCCGAAACCCTGGGTGACCCGTTGTGCCCACAACGCCTTTAGCACCCTTCGGACCCACAGAACCTGTAGAACCATACACGAGAATCCAGTTAGAACCAGTCTAACCAGAACCGCACCACAGCGGATGTTCGATTTAAAGGATGATGTCTGTTCCTCTCAGTGAGTGGATTGTGTGTTGTTTTCTTACCTGGGTATCCCATTTCTCCAATGCTTCCTTTGTTTCCAGGATACCCAGTACTGCCGGGCTCTCCAGGAACACCTGTGTCTCCTTTCTCACCTGAGAAACAATATTCATAACCTTTAAGGAGGGTGTAATTTTATCATCACATTGACTGTCCCAAATACTACCCACTAGCATATCATATATTGTGCAAGACCAATACATACATGACCAATACATACTGGGTAGTATACAGGTTTGTAACCATTGAGATCCTATTCAATTACTCTAATTCCTTTCTATGTGTGGGACATTTACAATAAATAGAGGGGTGTGGCGAAGCCTACACAGGTGACTAACCCGGCTGACCAGGAGTACCGGGCTCTCCATGCTTTCCTGGCATACCAGGTACTCCGGCCTGTCCTGGATAACCCTTCTCTCCAGTGTGTCCAGGGTCACCTAATGGGAAAAAGTGGGATTTAGCGTACCTAAACGATTCACAGTTCCTGTTTGAAACAGACCATCTGACATAGACATACAGCGCAGTAGGATGTAGGATACAGTGCAGTAAGATAAAGGATACAGTGAAGTAGGATGTAATAATATAATAATATGCCATTTAGCACACGCTTTTATCCAAAGCGACTTACAGTCATGCGTGCATACATTATATATATATATATTTTTTTTTTGTGTATGGGTGGTCCCGGGGATCGAACCCACTACCTTGGCGTTACAAGCGCCGTGCTCTACCAGCTGACCTACAGAGGACCACAGTGCACTAAGATGTCGGATGCAGTGCAGTAGAATGTAGGATGTAGGATACAGTGCAGTAGGATGTAGGATACAGTGCAATAGGATGTAGGTGTAGGATACAGTAAAGTAGGATGTAGGATACAGTGCAGTAGGGTGTAGGATACAGTACAGTAGGTTGTAGGATACAGTGCAATAGGGTGTAGGTGTAGGATACAGTAAAGTAGGTTGTAGGATACAGTGCTGTAGGGTGTAGGATACAGTACAGTAGGTTGTAGGATACAGTGCAATAGGGTGTGGGATGTTGGATACAGTGCAGTAGGGTCTAGGACACAGTGCAGTAGGGTTTAGGACACAGTGCAGTAGGGTTTAGGACACAGTGCAGTAGGGTTTAGGACACAGTGCAGTAGGGTCTAGGACACAGTGCAGTAGGGTTTAGGACACAGTGCAGTAGGGTCTAGGATACAGTGCAGTAGGGTCTAGGACACAGTGCAGTAGGGTCTAGGACACAGTGCAGTAGGGTTTAGGATACAGTGCAGTAGGGTCTAGGACACAGTGCAGTAGGGTTTAGGACACAGTGCAGTAGGGTCTAGGACACAGTACAGTAGGGTGTACACTCTTAAAAGAGGTGCTATCTAGAACCTAAAAGGGTTATTCGGCTGTCCCCATAGGATAACTCTTTGAAGAACCCTATTTGGTTCCAGGTAGAACCCTTTTGGTTCCATGTAGAACCCTTTCCACAGAGGGTTCTACATGGAACCCAAAAAAGTTATACCTGGAACCAAAAAGGGTTCTCCTATGGGAACAGCTGAAGAACCCATTTGGAACCCTTTTTTCTAAGAGTGTAGGATACAGTGCAGTAGGATGGGGCATGTTCATGTTGTATACCTGGGTCTCCGCTGTCTCCTTTCTCTCCCTTCATGTGCTCCATGTCCACGTCAGTCATGTTGCCAGGACGACCCTGCAGACCCGGCTCTCCCCTCTCTCCTTTGGGTCCAGGCTCACCGAACTCCCCCTTAGGTCCAGAGACACCAGGGTTGCCTGAGAGAGAGAAGAGATGAGTGGTTTGAGATGCTATAGTATAGTTGTGTAAAACACACTGATGGGTGGTCTGGTAGTACAGCGGCAGCAGTGCAAAGGCAGCAGTTCTACTCTACCCACCTCTCTGTCCAGGAGTTCCAGGGTTCCCAGCAGAACCCTGATATCCTGGTGTTCCAGGCATTCCCATGACTCCCATCGCTCCCTTGAGGCCTGGGGAACAAACACACATCAACAAATAAATAGAATAGGAAAATATTGGATATTTATACATCACAAAATATTGAAGGTTATCAAATTCACAAAATTCTCATTCAATTCAACAAAAATTAACCCAGACCAGTCCAGTCAATGAGCATTCATTTCCTTCCAGTTACATCAGACCTCCTCCAATCTTATGAGATCTGGCTCACCTGGCTCTCCGGGGAATCCGTCTCTGCCAACCGGGCCAGGTCTTCCTGGCAACCCTTTTGATCCAGACAGTCCAGGGAATCCTGAGTCTCCCTTCTCTCCCTGGGGGCCGGGCATGTCCAGACCAGGAGAGCCAGGGAAGCCCTTATCTCCTTTCACCCCGTCATGACCGAAGGAGCCTGGCTCTCCAGGGGGTCCCATTGGTCCAGGGGCCCCAGGTTCTCCTGCTCCAGGGGGTCCAGGGGGTCCAGTGCCACCATGCTGACCAGGGGGGCCGGGGTCACCTTTAATTCCCTGAACTCCAGGTGGTCCTGTGTGTCCCTGTTGTCCAGGAATACCAGTTGGACCAAAGTTGCCTTTATCTCCAGGGAAACCTGTCTCTCCGGTAGGGCCCTGAGCACCTTTAGGACCAGGTAGACCCCGACCTGGCTCACCCTAGAGAGGGCAGAAGAAGATTGGTTGATTGTTTGATTGATGGAGTTTGAAACAACAGAAAGTGAACCAGAAACACAGAAACAGAAACACACACCTTTGGACCAGGTGTGCCTGGTTTTCCAGAGAAACCATCCTGTCCAGATCTCCCAGGCTCTCCTGGCAACCCAGGGGCTCCTGGAGCTCCAGAGTATCCTTTAGGCCCGGGTAATCCTGGGAATCCAATGCCGGGGACACCTGCGTCACCTTTCTGTCCGGGGAATCCTGGCATTCCAGGGTCTCCCTGAAGTCCTCTGTCACCTGGGGTCAGGATGGAGAAGATGGTACATGATGCACTATGCAGGACCATGCAGGACCATAGCCTACCATAAACCAGATCAATACCAATAAGCTGACCCTCACCTTGTAGTCCAGGTATACCAGATCAATAATAATAAGCTGACCCTCACCTTGTAGTCCAGGTATGCCAGATCAATACCAATAAGCTGACCCTCACCTTGTAGTCCAAGTATGCCAGATCAATACCAATCAGCTGACCCTCACCTTGTAGTCCAGGTATGCCAGATCAATACAAATAAACAGATCCTCACCTTGTAGTCCAGGTATGCCAGATCAATACCAATAAGCTGACCCTTACCTTGCAGTCCAAGTATACCAGATCAATACTAATAAACGGATCCTCACCTTGTAGTCCAGGTATGCCAGATCAATACCAATAAGCTGACCCTCACCTTGTAGTCCAAGTATGCCAGATCAATACCAATCAGCTGACCCTCACCTTGTAGTCTAGGTATGCCAGATCAATACCAATAAGCTGACCCTTACCTTGCAGTCCAGGTATGCCAGATTCTCCTCGAGGTCCAGGGGAGCCCTGGGGTCCAGGTGAGCTCACACCTTTACCTGGTTCACCTTTCACTCCTGAGAGGCAGAGAGAGAGCAGGTGCACATCATCATGTAGGCTCCTTTTACGTAACGTGTGTGTGTTCTTTTGAGTGTGTTTGTATCGTGGACGTCTGTGTGTGTCTATAGCTGTAGCCTGTACACACCTGGCTGTCCAGGGATTCCAGGTCTGCCTTGTTGGCCAGATGTACCCTTCTCACCAGGCTCCCCCGGCCGGCCGAACCCTGGCACCCCAGGAGGACCCCTCTCTCCTGGGGGTCCAGTGAAACCAGGGTCCCCATCCAGACCACGGTCCCCCTTGATGCCGTCTCTGGCCTGCAAGAAGAGATCAGAGATAGAGAGGGATGACTGACTGTAGCACTGTCTGAACACAGGTGTTAAGAGCCTTAAAGTGATCGCTGACATGCACGCATGCACACACACACACACACACACACACACACACACACACACACACACACACACACACACCACAAACACACACACACATACAGGTTCTCCTTTGGGTCCAGGCAGGCCTGGTAGTCCAGCTTTCCCTGGCAGTCCGTCCACACCAGGCAGACCTCGTGTGCCAACGAAACCAGGAAGACCTTTGTCCCCCTTCAGCCCTGGAGCCAGGTAGATGTCCCCAGGCTCACCATGTGCTCCTGGAGCACCTATCAACCCAGGAGCACCTGAATTACCCTGGGGAGAGAAGAAGAAATAGCAGGGTCAATCGACAATCTCTTTCATTGGAAGAAAACTACTGGACAAACATACAGTACATAGTAATGACATGTGGATGGCCAGTGATGCAACATGTCCACCATAATGGTCTTCATGGAGCTATAGTGATGCAACATGTCCACCATAATGGTCTTCATGGAGCTATAGTGGTGCAACATGTCCACCATAATGGTCTTCATGGAGCTATAGTGATGCAACATGTCCACCATAATGGTCTTCATGGAGCTATAGTGATGCAACATGTCCACCATAATGGTCTTCATGGAGCTATAGTGATGCAACGTATCTTCAAAGGGGGTGACACTCTAGATCCAAACTGTTACAGACCTATAGCCATCCTGCCCTGCCTTTTGAAAGTTTTTGAAAGCTAAGTTAACAAACAGATCACCGACCATTTCGAATCCCACCGTACCTTCTCCGCTATGCAATCCGGTTTCCGAGCTGGTCATGGGTGCACCTCAGCCACGCTCAAGGTCCTAAACAATATTATAACGGCGATCGATAAAAGACAGTACTGCGCAGCCGTCCTCATCGACCTGGCCAAGGCTTTCGACTCTGTCAACCACTGCATTCTTATTGGCAGACTAAATAGCCTTGGTTTCTCAAATGACTGCCTCGCCTGGTTCACCAACTACTTCTCAGATAGAGTTCAATGTGTCAAATCGGAGGGCCTGTTGTCTGGACCTCTGGCAGTCTCTATGGGGGTGCTACAAGGTTCATTTCTCGGGCCGACTCTATTCACTGTGTATATCAATGATGTTGCTCTTGCTGCTGGTGACGCTCGGATCCACCTCTATGCGGACGACACCATTTTGTATACATCTGGCCCTTCATTGGACACTGTGTTAACAAACCTCCAAACGAACTTCAACGCCATACAACACTCCTTCCGTAGCCTCCAACTGCTCTTAAACACTAGTAAAACTAAATGCATGCTCTTCAACCGAACGCTGCTTGCACCCGCCCACCCGACTAGAATCACTACTCTCGGTGGGTCTGACCTAGAGTATGTGGACAACTACAAATACCTAGGTGTCTGGTTAGACCATAAACTCTCCTTCCAGACTCACATTAAGCATTTCCAATCAAAAGTTAGTTCGCTTCCTATTTCGCAACAAAGCCTCCTGCACTCATGCTGCCAAACATGCCCTCGTAAAACTGACTATCCTACTGATCCTTGACTTCAGCGATGTCATTTACAAATAGCCTCAACACTCTCTCCAGCCCAATTTGAGTTATCCAATGCAAATCCGTTTTGTCCATGCCCTATTACAACTTAGCATTCCAATCCAAAATTGCCCTTCGAAAAACCTACTCCTACTGCTTGACTCACATGCCTTAAAACTACATCCACATCCTTACGTCAATGGATGTTATTACAAGTGCCACCTCCTTTAGTCCCAAAGGCATTATCTACCACAGTTGCACCTTTGTCCCTAATGGCCCCTATCTACCACATACTTTCTTTGTGACTGCACCTCCACTCATATTCGTTGCAAACCCTGGCTCCAGTCCCTCTTCATGCTAGCAATCCCGTTGTATCTACCAGGCACCACACCCCACCGTCTGCTGCGCCAGCAGGTATATCTCACTGGTCATCCCCAAAGCCAACACCTCCTTTGGCCACCATTCCTTCCAGTTCTCTGCTGCCAATGACTGGAAAAATCTCTGAAGCTGGAGACTCTTATCTCCCTCACTAACTTTAGGCGTCAGTTGTCAGAGCAGCTTACCGATCACTGCACCTGTACACAGCCCATCTGTAATCAGCCCATCCAACTACCTCATCCCCATATTGTTATTTATTTTGCTAATTTGCACCCCAGTATCTCTATTTGCACATCATCTTTTGCACATCTATTATTCCAGTGTTAATACGAAATTGTAACTATTTTGCACTATGGCCTATTTATTGCCTTACCTCCATAGTTTACTACATTCGCACACACTGTATATATATTTTCTGTTGTATTTTTTGACTTTATGTTTTTTTTTACCCATATGTAACTCTCTGTTGTTGTTTTTATCAAACTACTTTGCTTTATCTTGGCCAGGTCGCAGTTGTAAATGAGAACTTGTTCTCAACTGGCTTACCTGGTTTATTAAAAGTGAAATAAAAAATAAACAAATCCACCATAATGGTCTTCAAGGAGCTATAGTGATGCAACATGTCCACCATAATGGTCTTCATGGAGCTATAGTGGTGCAACATGTCCACCATAATGGTCTTCATGGAGCTATAGTGGTGCAACATGTCCACCATAATGGTCTTCATGTAGCTATAGTGATGCAACATGTCCACCATAATGGTCTTCATGTAGCTATAGTGGTGCAACATGTCCACCATAATGGTCTTCAAGGAGCTATAGTGATGCAACATGTCCACCATAATGGTCTTCATGGAGCTATAGTGATGCAACATGTCCACCATAATGGTCTTCATGGAGCTATAGTGGTGCAACATGTCCACCATAATGGTCTTCATGGAGCTATAGTGATGCAACATGTCCACCATAATGGTCTTCATGGAGCTATAGTGGTGCAACATGTCCACCATAATGGTCTTCATGGAGCTATAGTGGTGCAACATGTCCACCATAATGGTCTTCATCAGGTTCTATTAGAAGAGTGAGTGATGATGTGATGAAGATAACTCACAGGGCTTCCATCAGGCCCAGCAGGTCCAGGCAGGCCATTGTCTCCTTTACTGCCTGCCGCTCCAGGATAACCTGCAGGGGACGAACAACACCTCTCAGTAAACACAAAAACACCATCTCAAAGGAAATAGTGTGGAGGCGGATTAATATAGGCCCTAGGGTCAGGATCCTAACCTGAGATACAGGCTGAAGATGTGGAACACAATTTTAATGCCAATCATTAATTGACACAAAGGTTTCAGTTGCATGTGTGTATCCCAACCTATGATTCAGTCAGTAGTGTGGGGGTATCTCTTGTCAGCTCACCTTGCTGTCCTTTAGGCCCCTGGGGGCCAGGGAGTCCAGGGGGGCCGAAGGCTTCGCACTGCACACACGTGTCTCCCTGATCACCTGGAGGTACATCACAATACAAGTTAATATCAGACAAACAAGTAGGTGACAGCATGGGATACAATGGATGCCTTGAAGTGAATCTGAGCTGCACTATATGGAATGGAGTAATATATTGTAATATGTGATAGTACAATGTTACGTAATGTATGTGATCAGTATGTGAGCACTACAGAGTTTCGTGGTGATAAAAGAGAGAGGGAGAGAGAAAGGAGGAGAGAGAGCATACAATATGCATGCACTGACTACAGACTTAGCTAAACGTACAGTACAGTGTGATTGGACAGAACATTAGAGACTGATAGAGAGATTGTCCCAACACTCCCTCCCCTCCGTACCTTTCTGTCCCAACTCCCCCTGTAGTCCAGGTGGGCCAGGGGGCCCAGGTGTTCCCTTCTCAAGGGCCGGATCACATGGCTCATCCCCTATACACATAGCGCAACACACACACACACAGGTGAGAGAAAGCCAACACTGAGTCACCTAAAAGACTCCATTGCTAAACGTATAATCAGCTAAATGACTCCACAATGACAAATGTCAAAGGTCACACTATGAATGTGTAACTACACCTACCAGGGGGTCCGGGAGGACCAGGGAGTCCGACAAGCCCATCTTGTCCAGGCTTTCCTCTGAGAGACTCCCCTTCTGCACCTCTGTCTCCCTTCTGACCGACCTCTCCTGGCCCGCCCTTCTCTCCGGGGGGTCCCTCAATGTGCCTGCCTAAAATACACCACAGAGGCACACAGTGAGATATGGGGACGCCAACTAAAGAAATACATGACAGAGAGGACATGATAAAATATGACCTAGTGTCAAAGAATGGGTCACTGATTACTGATGTTTCTTCTCTTACCTGGTGGGCCTAGAGCTCCTTGAATACCAGGGAAACCTGTCAGATAAAGGAACATGTTCAGAGTTGGTCTAGGAGGCCTACATAAACCCTTAGAAAGGCTTCTTCTTTGGATGCTAATCAAATGATGAACTAAACAGGTGTAGTTTTATAAAGGGGTGGGGGGTGTACTGTACCTCTTTCTCCTTGTAAGCCTGGGAGACCAGGGGGTCCGGGAGCGCCAGGAGCACCATCACCCTAAAATCACAGAAATTGCAAGTTCATCAAATGTCATCCCCCTGCATAGAAAACGAATAAATGACTACACTTTTCATTAATAGTATGAGCATGTTATTCTCATTTTAAAGAGTTTATGGCGGCATCTGGTGGCAAAGAACATAATTGCATCTGAATGTTCACTATATGAGATGCTGAGAGCAATAAGCAAGACTACCGAGAGAGAGAGAGAGAGAGAGAGTATAGAGTACTTACATGTGCCGGAGGGCCTCTCTCTCCCTTTTCACCCTAAAACACAGAGAGACATCCATTTCATTAGCCTCATCACTGCTATAAATAAAAGCAGATGACAGGTATACATGTTTATGTAGTTACCGGTGTTCCATGGTATCCAGGGCCACCAGGAAAGCCTCTCTCTCCCTGTATGACAACAGGCACATCACCATGATCAGGACAAAGACATCGAACACAATTGAACTATTGCGATAAAACTACTAGAGGAGAGAGAGAGTGAGAGAGAGAGAGACGAAAAGAAAACGAGAGAGAGAGAGAAGAGAGGGAGAGGGAAGAGAGAGAGAGAGATAGAGGAGAAGGGGAGAGAGAGGAGAGGAGCAGAGAGTAGAAGAAGGTGGTGGATGAGAGACAGTGGGAATGTGAGAGAGAGAAAGAGAGGAAGTAGGCTAGGTGTAGACATGTATGATTCTATACCTTAAATCCATTGTCTCCATCTTTGCCATCTTTTCCCTGAAATCCAAGACACAGAAATTCAATTCTACCAGGAAAGTAAATAATGTTTGAGTTTTTCTTCAATAAAAGCAATATTAAATGAAATTGAAGTGATCATCGTCACTCACCCTTGGTCCTGGTGTGCCTTGTTCACCCTTGACCCCATTTAGATATGGAATGCAAAAACCCTGCAAACAAAAATTACATCAATGTTACTTATAGTGGCAATCAAAACACAAGTCAGGTCAGTATTGGTTTACCATACTGTAATGTCATTGCATGTACATGAACGTTGGAGTTGAAAAATAGTAAAACACTCACTTTCTCTCCTCTGTCTCCTGTCTCTCCTCTCTGACCCTGAAGGACAGACACAAACACCTTTAGTAAAGAGGTAGGCCTACTTTCCTTTCATCCATCCATTCATTCATCCATCCATCCATCCATCCATCAATCCACCCATCCAGTGATAATCATAGATTTGTTAACACAGTGAGATTGAGGACATTCGTCAGTGGCCTATTATCCGTGAAGGAGTCAAGGGCATCAGTCAAAGTAGGTCATCATTGTCAATTTTTCTCATTGATTATGAGGAGCTGGGTACCGGTGGTCCTGGGAGGTAATGCGTAACAGAATTTCCTCCTGCTTCCTGTGATGGAGGTCCGGGGGGGCCAGGGGGGCCACGGAACCCTTGTTCACCCTATCAGGAGAGGAAAATACCAGAGGAACGGATCAGAAACAGGAACAAAGAAAACTGTATACAGTGGCAAGGCATAGGGCTTTGTTGTGGAAGAAGAGGAGGTGAAGGGAGATGGGGACCAAATCTGGCACTCAAAGGTGAAGGAAGGAAGTTATAATTGTTTACTACTGGTTTATTGTCTATATATTGCTACTTATAAACCCTTTATAAAGCTGTTATGAACACAAAAGTGTGTGTGTCTCACCTTGTCTCCCTTCTCACTCTGGAAAGACAGCCTGTCACCCTGAGAGAGAAAACAAATGTCATTTCTGAGAGACATACGATTGGACATCACTATTGAGACGTTACAACTAGGAGAGATCTGATTGGACATCACTTTTGAGATGTCACGACTGAGAGAAATCTGATTGGATGAACAACAACATCTAATGTGGGTTAATGTTAGGCTATTATCGGCAGATCATTGACCAGCTTACCTTTTCTCCTTGGGGGCCAGGTGGGCCAGGGAAACCCTAAAGGGAGGGAGGAATACAGTCAGTCAGTGAGTCATGTTAATAGCCATGCTAATATGATGCTAATGCTAACATTCATATCCATAGGGTATCATTTGAGAACCAGCCTAAGCCATAGTCTAATGAATCCTGTGTTAGTCTGGTCACTCACTCTGGGTCCAGCTGATCCCTGGTTTCCTGGTGGGCCTTCAGGTCCTGAGGGGCCATTGGGTCCCTGTGGGAAAGATAGGAGGAATATTCTGTCGTCAGTCAGTCACGCACACACGCACGCACACACATACGCATGCACGCATGCACGCACGCACACACACACACACACACACACACACACACACACACACACACACACACACACACACACACACACACACACACACACACACACACACAAACACATACAAATATACACACACATACATGTGCATACGCACCAGTAAACCAGGTGTTCCAGGGAATCCTTTATCTCCTTTCAGTGGGATGACTCCAATAACACCACCTGCGTCTCCCTGGGAGACAGACAACCAGACAGACAGAGAGAGAGAGATAGAGAGAGAGAGAGAGAGAGAGAGAGAGAGAGAGAGAGAGAGAGAGAGAGAGAGAGAGAGAGAGAGAGAGAGAGAGAGAGAGAGAGAGAGAGAGGAAGAGATAGAGAGAGAGAGAGAGACAGGTTAGAGAATGATACACTACACACAGAAGGGCTGTTTCTATGCCAATATCAACAGTGCTGTACAGTGTAGTAGATTTATTTTGATGGCGTAAACCATAAATGTAATCTCTGACTAGCATAGTTTTTACTTACTTTCATTCCCATAAGTCCGGGGATACCCTGAGAAGAGAGATAGAGTTCTAAATCTCATCCTGATTGAATGATAAATACATTTTATGAATCTTTAGAACATCTTCCAGTCTAGTGTCTTTTGTTTTGTTAATTAATATAGATCTAGTACGAAATGCTGGCATAAGGTTAAGTATGTGGCAGTGTTGAAGTGAACATGTGACCATGTTGGCTGTGTTGATGATGAAGCGTGCTTACAGGAGGACCCTGCAGACCAGGGAACCCCGACTGTCCGTCTGTCCCTCGATCTCCCTGGAACACAGACACACAGAGAGCGAGAGATGTCAGCTTGGACTGAGGATGGGTTGAGACAGCATGGCTTGGTAACAAGTGATAACAGTAAGTAATTGGTGCTACACAGATGTGTAACAGCACTGAATTGATGCTAAGCAGAACACTCACCTTTGTTCCATTGCACCCTGGGATACCTGGCGATCCAGGGGGGCCGTCTTGTCCGGGGATGCCCTGTGGGGGAGAGGCAAGGACACACACACAGGTAAGACATTTGTGTGGAAGGGGGCCTAAACAGTCAAGAGCGCTGGTATGTAAGGGTAAATAGTGGTTTACAGAGACATACCGGAAGCCCTGGATTTCCTGGGAAGCCTGGCAAACCATTAGGGCCCTGCAACACATCACATCATTACAAACATAATTTACCTTTGATTCATTTAGCAGATCCACTTTGAATACAAGTAGTTACATTCCAATAAGAAGGTAGAATGACATCATACAGTTTTATTATGGTAGAACTCTATACCAGGCGGTGTCAGAGCAAGGCCACCCAAGCCATAGACTGTTCTCTCTGCTACCGCACGGCAAGCGGTACCAGTGCACCAAGTCTGGAACCAACAGGACCCTGAACATCTTCTACCCCAAGCCATAAGACTGCTATATAGCTAATTAAATGAATACCCGGACTACCTGCATTTACCCTTTTTTGCACTAACTCTCTTGCACTGACTCTATGCACACACACTGGACTCTACCCACACACTCACACATACTTACACTGATACCCCAACACAAACACACACACACACTAAATACGCCCAAACACACATAACATGCACACATATACATACTGACGCCACACACACACACACACACACACACACACACACACACACACACACACATTTTCACACTCACAACATACCCTGCTGCTACTGTCTATTATCTTTCCTGTTGCCTACTCACTTTACCCCTACCTATATGTATATAGCTACCTCAACTACCTGGTACCCCTGCACATTGACTCAGTACTGGTACTCCCTGTAGATAGCCATGTTATTTTTCTCGTTATTGTTATTCGTTATTCACTGTGTATTTATTCCATTTTTTCTTCTACTTTATCTTTAACTCTGCATTGTTGGAAAAGGTGGTCCAAACAAAAGCTAAAATGCTATAAGAAAGTCAACACTGGTTTCTAGACTAGCTGGGGTCTACTCTGTATTATTATACTCACACGTGTTCCTTTCATCCCAGGAGTTCCAGACTCGCCATACTCTCCCTGGGAAGAGACAAGTGACATTGAAGTGACATTAAGGTGACATAGAGAAGATATAGTCGTGACATTACTTATTTTTTGTGAATATTTAGAAATAAATCTGTTATAATCATGGTAATCACATTATTGTGCTGTCCCAAGTAGGGTTTCTTGGTGGGTGGGTGATACTGTGAAGGGGGTGTGGTCTGGAGCTGACACTCACCTTAGGGCCCATCGGCCCAGCAGGCCCCTCATGGCCCTGCATGCCCGGGAACCCCATGTTGCCTTGGAGACCAGGAAACCCGCGCTCACCCTACAGAAGACACAACAATAGTTAAACAGAGTCGGGTGAAGTTACCGTAGAGGCTAATCTATGGTCAGTTTTGTGTTTTCCAACATTATGGTTAGGTTTAGGATTTAGGGAGGGTAAGCTGATCCTAATCAAAAAATACATATACACTACCAGTCAAAAGTTTGGACACACCTACTCATTCAAGGGTTTTTCTTTATTTTTACTATTTTCTACATTGTAGAATAATAGTGAAGACATCAGACTATGAAATAACACATATGGAATCATGTAGTAACCAAAAAAGTGTTAAACAAATCAAAATACATTTTATATTTGAGATTCTTCAAAGTAGCCACCCTTTGCCTTGATGACAGCTTTGCACACTCTTGGCATTCTCTCAACCAGCTTCATGAGGAATGCTTTTCCAACAGTCTTGAAGGAGTTCCCACATATGCTGAGCACTTGTTGGCTGCTTTTCCATCACTCTGCGGTCCAACTCATCCCAAACCATGTCAATTTGGTTGAGGTCGGGTGATTGTGGAGGCTAGGTCATCTGATGCAGCACTCCATCACTCTCCTTGGTCAAATAGCCCTTACACAGCCTGGAGGTGTGTTTTGGGTCATTGTCCTGTTGAAAAACAAATTATAGTCCCACTAAGCGCAAACTAGATGGGATGGCCTATCGCTGCAGAATGCTGTGATAGCCATGCTGGTTAAGTGTGCCTTGAATTCTAAATAAATCACTGACAGTGTCACCAGCAAAGCACCCCCACACCATCACACCTCCTCCTCCATGCTTCACGGTGGGAACCACACATGCGGAGATCATCCGTTCACCTACTCTGCGTCTCACAAAGACACAGCGGTTGGAACCAAAAATCTCAAATTTGGACTCATCAGACCAAAGGACAGATTTCCACCGATCTAATGTCCATTGCTCGTGTTTCTTGGCCCAAGCAAGTCTCTTCTTATTATTGGTGTCCTTTAGTAGTGGTTTCTTTGCAGCAATTCGACCATGAAGGCCTGATTCACACAGTCTCCTCTGAACAGTTGATGTTGAGATGTGTCTGTTACTTGAACTCTGTTAAGCATTTATTTGGGCTGCAGTTAACTCTAATGAACTTATCCTCTGAAGCAGAGGTAACTCTGTGTCTTCCTTTCCTGTGGCGGTCCTCATGAGAGCCAGTTTCATCATAGCGCTTGATTGTTTTTGAGACTGCACTTGAAGAAACTTTCAAAGTTCTTGAAATGTTCCGTATTGACTGACCTTCATGTCTTAAAGTAATGATGGACTGTCGTTTCTCTTTGCTTATTTGAGCTGTTCTTGCCATAATATGGAATTGGTATTTTACCAAATAGGTCTATCTTCTGTATACCTTGTCACAACACAACTGATTGGCTCAAAAGGAAAGAAATTCCTAACTCATGAAGCTGGTTGAGAGAATGCCAAGAGTGTGCAAAGCTGTCATCAAGGCAAAGAGTGGCTACTTTGAAGAATCTCAAATATAAAATATATGTTTTGGTTACTACATGATTCCATATGTGTTATTTCATAGTTCTGATGTCTTCACAATTATTCTACAATGTAGAAAATAGTAAAAATTAAGAAAAATCCTGGAATGAGGTGTGTCCAAACTTTTGACTTGTACTGTATATAAAGGGGATTAATGAGACAGCAATAGCTGATTGCTTCATGTGTTCCATCTATCTTTCACCAGATGGAGCCACAGTCCTTTCTTAGGCCAGGGTGGTCTGATCTGACCAATCATGTATATAAACCCTGGATTGCTGTTGCTATGTATTGGCCATTGAGAGGCTTTGAAGCCACCAGTCGGCCATATTGGCACGCCCCAGT